ACGACGAGTGCTGGTACTTGCCTTCATTCGGAGTATATCATCCACGAAAACCTAATCAAATTAGGGTTGTCTTTGATTCAAGCGCCAAACATCAAGGTGTATCTCTTAACGATATTCTTCTCACAGGTCCTAATCTGACTAATAACCTAGTCGGAGTGCTGATGAGATTCAGGAAAGAGCTTGTCGCCATCACTGCTGACATTGAACATATGTTCCATTGTTTTGTAGTCCGAGAGGACCACCGGAATTTCCTCAGGTTTCTGTGGTACAAGGACAATGACACCAACGCAGAGATGATGGAGTATCGTATGAGGGTACATGTGTTTGGAAACAGCCCTTCACCAGCCGTAGCGACTTACGGGCTTCGGAGAACTGCAATAGAGGGGGAATCTGAGTATGGTACAGATGCCAAAGACTTTGTGGAAAAAGACTTCTACGTGGATGATGGGCTCAAATCGCTACCAACTGAAGAAGCGGCTATCGATCTGCTCAAAAGGACTCAAAATATGTTGTACCAAGCTAACCTTAGACTACACAAAATTGCTTCAAACAGCCTAACCGTAATGAGAGCCTTCGAGCGAGGTGATCATGCACCTGGATTCAAAGACATTAACCTGGGACTGGACAGTCCACCTGTGCAGAGGAGCTTGGGCCTCAGATGGGATCTCTCGGCTGACTCCTTTGGTTTTCAAATAAGTTGTGCAGACAAGCCATTCACAAAACGTGGTGTCCTATCAGTGGTAAACAGCCTATTTGATCCGCTGGGATTTGTAGCGCCCATCGTCATACAAGGTAAATCCCTACTGAGACAACTTTCTGAAACCATCAAGGATTGGGATACCCCACTTCCCTCCGATAAAGAGCAAAAATGGGAAGCCTGGAAGCAATCTTTGTGTGCTTTGGATGAGATCCACATCCCAAGATGCTATATTAAAACCTCACTTACTTCTAGCGTAAAGAAGGAACTCCACGTGTTCTCGGACGCCTCCACAGAGGCCATAGCAGCGGTCGCCTATCTGAAGGTCACAGAACCCAACAAGCAAAATCACGTTGGATTCGTCTTTGGTAAGGCTAAGTTAGCCCCCAAGCCTGATCATACTATTCCCAGACTTGAACTCTGTGGGACTGTATTAGCAGTGGAGATTGCAGACTTCATACAAGAAGAACTAGGTGTCAACATAGATGAAGTTCAGTATTACACGGACAGTAAGGTCGTATTAGGTTACATCTACAATCAGACGAGACGATTTTATGTTTACGTCAGTAACCGCATAGAGAGAATCAGGAGGTCCTCCAAACCTGAACAATGGTACTATGTACCATCCGAACTTAATCCAGCAGATCATGCCACTAGACCTATGTCTGTAGGTTCCTTTACTAACTCTACTTGGCTTACAGGTCCGGAGTTTCTGCTAAAACAGGCGGACGATTGTGTACAGGAAGTTTTCAGCATCCAGGATCCGGATAATGATCCAGAAATCCGCGCTGAAGTCAGTGTATTGGTCACTGGAACAAAGCAAATCTCCAGCCTCGGTAGCCAGCGCTTTGAACATTTCTCCAGTTGGATGAGACTCGTCAGGACTATCGCAAGGTTAGTGCACATTGCGGAATGTTATCACAATACTCACAAAGATAAGGATTGTCACGGTTGGCACGTCTGCCATAAACCCTTCTCTGCGGAGAACATCTCTCATAGTGAGTCCCTCATAATACGTCACGTCCAACAAGAGGAATTCAATGTAGAATGGAAGTGCTTATACAAACAAACAGCAGATTCCAATAAAAAGCCCTCTTGCCAACTTAAATCCAGTTATTGACAGTTTTGGCTTGCTCAGAGTTGGTGGTCGTTTGAATCAAGCCCACCTAAGAGTTGCAGAACAAAATCCTCTCATCATCATTCCCAGCAAACACCATATCACCGTCTTGCTGATCCGACACTACCACAAACCAAACCTAAAAGAAGGTGACCTCGTGTTGATGAAGGAGCAACAAATCGTACGGATTGACTGGCCTATGGGACTAATTACAAAGGTTCTTCCTAGCAAGGATGGCAAGGTCCGTAAAGTGGAGTTGAAGATCTTCAGAAAGGGTGAGCTTAAAATGTTCGCAAGGCCAATTAACGAACTCATTTTGATACTACCCATCGAGAACATTCCTGCTGGGTGAACTCTACTGAACTTGAACTTTGTGGTTCTTCTCTATTCCAACTCGGAATCTACTATATTGTTATGTTTATTGCATTCTAACATGTTCTTTGTTACAGGTTGTTTTATATTTTATGGACATTCGTCATAGTGAAATCCCTTATGGAATTTCAGACGGGGAGTGTGCTGTTCTCCTCATATTTGTTATTTAACTGTGCATTGTATCACCAATTCTTATTTCACCATGTTTTGTTTCTATGTCTTGATCTGTTGCTGCCATCTGCTGGCCAGAATTTGCATGCTGCATGCCTTTGTTATAGCTAGTAAGTGTTTTCTCTGCTGGGCGTGGTTTTTTTAGGCAAGCCTTGGTTCTGGTCACTTCCTGCAGCCATTTTATCTGCTATATAGCTGTGTGACAGGACATTCATTACCCTGGGCTTGTGAAGGCATCAGTTTTTGACCAGCAGTTAGCCTCAGGAAAGATATCGCAGGACAGCATCAATACCTCTACTACCTTACAGTATTGTATCACTGTTTGTCGCTGTATTTTGGACCAAATAAACCCACGCTGATTTCATTCCCGTGTATACGTTTGGATCCATCTAACCTGAACATCTGCCGGTCCGGTCTGCTCCACTGCTTGGATACGAAGGTAGGAAGTTACACAGCGGTACCTGAAAAGTGGCACTGCACAATAACCAGGCAGGCATCATTAGGTGGGATGTCAATCAGCTACAGCTCAAGGAACCCCTATCCACCTCTGGAGGGACCCTAGAATTTTACAGAACCCTGGTTGAGCTTGGCTTCTCCTGTGCCTTGCAAGAACGTCGTCTAGTGAGACTTTGGCTGCTCTGTATTCCCCAGGATCATGAGGAATGTGATGTCACCCTTGCCTAGGCACCGCAGGTAGAAGTTTGGGGCAAGGTAAGTATAAACCTAACTTTTCTTTACTTTTCTTTACAGGCACATCTACTAACAAGTGATTTGTGAAGGGGGATGGGGCCCCGGACAGTTTAAGCGGACCTTGCATTTTACTGCAAGGTCCATTTTAAGCCCCCATTCACATCCGAAGCACAACAGTGCTCAAGATGAAGATTCCCATTATTCTCAATGTGCCTGTTCTTCCTAAGCCCTCTGCCACTTGCCTTGGTTCTTGTAATGGGCATCACTGGGGTTGTAGAGGTTTTTGTGGGTCCTTGCCAGGCAGATGAAAGTCTTCATATCCAGCATGGACACTGAGGTTGCTAGGAGGAGGAGACCAGTCTTTAGATGCAAAAATGCACGAACACTTGAGTCACGTGGTTTCAGGTCCTTGCATTGAAGTTTATGGGGCCAAAAAGTCTGTACAAATAAAAGTCTTTATGCACGACAAGGGGCAAAAGGACACTGAGGTGTAAACAGGCATTATTGCATATAATGGGAATCCTCGTGTTAAGCGTTGTCGTGCTTCACCACATAAATTGCTTGGGTGTGAATGGGGGATAAGTATGTGACCCAGGAAAGTTCTTTAGATTCTTATTTGAATTCTTGTCTTGGCTCAGTGACTGAATACTAATTAGACAGCAGGATAAGTATGTCATTTAGGGGATTTACAGTTAGTTTGGTGCTCATTCTCTGTGTGGTTCTACAACTCCTGGAAGGATTTAAAGTGGCCCTGTTAGTAACTGCACAAGTCTGCGTAAATGAACTCCTGACATATCACGAGATATAGCAACAATATCATTTTTCAGAAAAGCTTCACTTTTTATCATTAAAAAGCTGCCCTTGAGGGCTAGTTGATATTTTTGTCTAGGCTAAAATTATGTCATCAGTCTGCTGCAGACAGCAGGCAGTGTTTCCTCAGTCTCCTTTTCCACAGCCAGTAGATTGCAACATTGTAGCTTTGCAGGGAGGTTACAAACTGCTGCTGGGGCTGTTCTGTGTCAGATATTTTTTTTATCACAGCCATGAACTTCCCAGGAACCAGGATTTACATAATTGTGTCATCTCTGAGACAGAAAGTAGATGGTGACCCTGGATGGTGGCTGAACAAAGATGGTGCTGTCCTTCTAGAGAGAAAAGCAGATGAAGGCATTGTCAGGAAAAGTACTGTGATTTCTGTGAGAGGTAATAAATACCTGGAAGTGCTACTCAGAACATGAACAAATAGATCTGATGGCGGTCCACATTTATCTGACTGTGTTAGTTGCATGGTTATGAGTTTCTGTGTCTCTAGCAATAAGACTCTCAGCCTCCTGGGAATTATATTCATTAGAAATGTGTGTGGAATAGATCTGATTTATGTAAATAATCTCATCAAAGGATATTCATGTTTAATTTTTCTTTCAAAGTATATTTTCTCATTAACGATGTGCATGGGGCGAGGCGTAATGGTTATATCACTGCAAGGGTTATTCTGATAACAATGGACCCTCCACAGTCACTAATGATGTGAAACATCCCTACTGCTTCTTGTAGCAAAATAGCCAGAGATGATGTGATCTCTAGCCAAGCTGAGGGTGCTCAGAGCAGAATGTCTTTTTTTTTTTTTTTTTTTTTTAAATTCATACATGGTAAAATTCCCAAATAGCTTTTTGACTCCAGGGAATTTTAAAATTAAAAGGGTTTGTAATATAGAAGGACCGAGATCACCAGCCAGCCACTTGTAAAAGTAAATAGTCCATGCTGGGCTAGCTTTCTTCAGCAAAGTTAGAGACAAACCATCTTTTGTTCTGGTATAATTAACCACCTCCCGCCCGCCATATAGTCCAATGATGGGCGCAAGGTGGTTTTCTCGTTCTGGGAGGACGTCATATGACGTCCTCCCATTCTCACCATGCATGCGTGGATCAGGGAGCGCGCAGCGCGGCGATCGGCGGTGCTCTGTGTCCCTCGGACACAGCGGATCACCGATCTATGGAAAGAGCTGAAGATGTCGGCTTGGTCATGTGATCAGCTGTGTCCAATTGCAGCTGATCACATGTAAATAGGGAAATGCCGGTTATCGGCATTTCTCTCCTCATGAGCTGTCACACTGACCGCTCAAGAGGAGAGGAGAGCCGGTAATCGGCATTCCGCGGAGGGGACATGTACACTGATCATCAGGGCACTGATGAGCAGTGTGGCCCCAGAAGTGCCACCTGTCAGTGTCCATCAGTGCCAGCTGCCAGTGCTGAACAGTGCCACGTGCCAGTGCCACATATCAGTGCCTACCAGTGCACATCAATGCCACATATCAGTGCCCATCTGAGCTGCCTTTCAGTGTCACCCATCAGTGCCACCTATCAATGCCAATCCGTGCCACCTATTAGTACTGCCAATCAGTGCCGCCTATCAGTGCCCGTCAGTGCCTCCTATCATTGCCAGTCAGTGCCGCCTAACAGTGCCAGTCAGTCTAGCCTATCAGTGCCATATATCAGTGCTGCCTTTCAGTGCCCATCAGTGATGCCTGTCAATGCCCATCAGTGCCACCTACCAGTGCCTCCTCATCATTGCCACCTATTAGTGTCCATCAGTGCAGCCTATCAGTGCCCATCACTGCAGCCTCATTAGCGCACATCAGTGAAGGAGAAAAATCACTTATTTACAAAATTTTACAACAAAAACTAAGAAAAAAAACTTTTTTTTTTCAAAATTTTCAGCAGTTTTTGGTTTGTTTAAGAAAAAATAAAAAAACCCAGAGGTGATTAAATACCACCAAAAGAAAGCTCTATCTGTCACAAAAAAAAAAAATGCTAAAAATTTCATATGGGTACAGTGTTGCATGACTACCCAATTGTCATTCAAAGTGTGACAGTGCTGGGCAGGAAGGGGGTATAAGTGCCCTGTAGGCTAGCGGTTAAGACCAAAGCAAATAGCTCACTACCAGTATACTGGTTCCACACTTGGGTTTGGGGTTCCCATCTGGTTCAGATAAGTTGCAGGAGTTCAGTAACAAAGTCTCAGGAGCCAGGCAGCCCATGGAATCTCACAGCTGTGGACTAATCCACTCCATGTCATAGACATGTGATGCCTCCTTCTTGCTGCTTTTCAAGCATCCCTTGTTAGCCCTGTAATTGGGGTTCTAGTGTTTCCCACTCAGTCTCTCTGAGCCTCTGAATTCTGGGTCCCAAATGACAACTTACCAATCCAGAGTACTGAAATTCGTCCTCTCCTGTTCGACCAGACTATCCTAGAATCGCTCACCTTGCATGGTGGAGAACCCCTGAGTACTAAAAATCTTTCTCGGACTCTCTCTTAAAGAGACCACACCCCCAAATAATGGGGAAATGTATCTCCTGCCCAGGACTCATCTCTGGTATTCCGTACAAATCAATAGTTTGTTTTGTCTAGGGGAAAGGCAAAACCATTTTACTGACCTGATACTCTGCTGCCCTGGCAGATAGTGCACCATCATGCTTCGCCGGTGGACTGTCCCTCAGCTCCGGGTTATGGACCCTGATTTTGTCTTGCTGTCAGGACCCTCGACTGATATGGGGATGTGGGGACCAGTCTAACTGGGGGGAGGAGTGGAAGATCAGGCAAGTACATTTTTTTTTTTTTCTCATTCTCTTAGACCAAAACAGGCAACTAACCCTTACAGTGCAGGCACATCCCCTCTGCAAGGGATATTGTTTTTAGCTGCCTGTTGTTGGGCTTCAGTCTTTCTTCTCTGCACTCTTTAGTAACTCGGGAGTAATATAGATGAGAACTTTACACTTTAGCTGGCCTTGCTGCACCAGGATTTGGGGGAAAGGGGATATCTGGAATTAGTGTAACTAATCTGTAAGGTCTTTCATTGTGTGCACCTGATCTTATCAGAAAACTTCCCTTATTGCCTATCATCAGTAAGGAGCTGTGCCGTACTCAGTGGGATATAACACGGCCTAACATTTATGTCACATGACTGCACTTCTCAAATACTCTTAGCGCTTTGCTTGCTTTGACACTGAGACCCTATTCACTTCAATAAATGAAAAAATAAAGTCATGGGAGAGGGTTGTTCTCATGATCTGTCGGTCATGTGACTGACCTCTCCTCCAATCACAGTGTTCTCTGTAGCATTAAGCAGGGAACACTCTGTAGGATTAAATAAATTAAATAATACTTGTGAGCCACTTATTATAATTTGATAAGGTTCGCTGACATTAATCACATCCTCAGACAATGTGTGTATACAAAAGAAAATAAAAATGTTGCGCTCCTAATTAATGTTAATAATGTGTATCAACTTATACTCTTATTATACATAATGTCAATTAAAATATAATAAATGTGAAAAAAAACAATATGTGCCACCTGAATATAATGCTCAAAATCAAATTTAAAAAACTATATAAAGTCTCTGGTGAAAAATAAATAGTGACAATCCCCAAAGAAACTTTTTTGTGATCCAAACATAAGTATAAAGTGAATTATTAAACACAAAAAGTCTCTGGTGATGAAGAAATGGTGACAATCTCAATAAGACAATAAAGTGATCCAAAACGATAGTTGTGACTCCTTAATGTGATTAGGTTATGCGCTCATCTCCTTTTAAGCCTAATATATAGGCCTATTCCGCTTTTTGTTCACAAATGGAACTCTGTGTAATATGTTGCACCATATAATGAATGGTGGGTATCCCTTAAATGCTTCCCAATGCTCCTTTCCTTATATGCCAATATCCCTGCAGGGATCTCTCACTCCTTCTGCTGCTGCTTGTCTCCTCCTTAGATGTTCCTCAGTAACATATTATAGGAAAGAAATAGGGACATAGTGCCTTATCCTTTAAAACTCAAATTTTATTATGTGCCCAAATATTGCACTCACATCTCATAAAATATAAAACCGCTTTTGTAAAACAATCTTTAGCTGTGTGCGCCGCACATGTGCCAATCTACAGTTTTGTGTGTTGCCTTTTGATGTTAATGGAAACCCATCGGTGTTAATCTAGCCTGGGGGTGGCCATTGATGGGCGAGGGAGATGCTTTCCAATTTCTAAGTCGTGGTTGATCTGACCCAGCCTTTCTCAACATTTTCATTTAAGAGAAACCCTTGAAAAAAATGATTATATCTGCAGCTCAGGTTACATAAATGTGATCAGTAAGTTGTAGATATACCGTATTTGCCGGCGTATAAGACGACTTTTTGACCCTTGAAAATCTTCTCAAAAGTCGGGGGTCGTCTTATACGCCGGTACACATGTTTAGGGGGGTCTGCGGCATTAAGTACAGGGGTTTGCAGGGGCTGATGTCTCTTACCTGGATCCAGTCCCACGACGATCCGGTCCAGGAAGCGCGGCGTCTCCTTCAGTTCGGCCACTGGATGTTCGTGCGGCTGCTCGGCTCCGCCTCCTCACCGGTGATTGGCCGCCAGAACTGTAGCTCAGGAAAGGCACACAGGCGGCCAATCACCGGCGAGGGGGTGGAGCCGAGCGGCCCCCGCAAAAATTGAGTGCCGGAGCAGCAGGTAAGTGTTCTGTGTAGAGGTGCTGCTGCAACCACATATGCTGGCTGCAGCAGCACCATACGAGAACAGGGTCAGCAAGTCCCAGTGGGAGGAATAGTGCCCCATCATTGGTGTCACTGATACCAATGATGGGGCACTATTCCTCCCACTGACACCAACGATGGGGCACTATTCCTCCCCCCCACTGACACCAATGATGGGGCACTATCCCCCCCCACTGACACCAACGATGGGGCACTATTCCACCCCCCACTGACACCAATGATGGGGCACTATTCCACCCCTCACTGACACCAATGATGGGACACCATTCCTCCCACTGACATCAATGATGGGGCACTATTCCTCCCACTGACACCAATGATGGGGCACTATTCCTGCCACTGATACCAATGATGGGGCACCATTCCTGCCACTGATACCAATGATGGGGCACTATTCCTCCCCACTGATACCAATGATGGGGCACTATTCCTGCCACTGATACCAATGATGGGGCACTATTCCTCCCACTGACACCAATGATGGGGCACTATTCCTCCCACTGACACCAATGATGGAGCACTATTCCTCCACTGATACTAATGATAGGGCACTATTCCTGCCACTAATGCCAATGATGGGGCACTATTCCTGCCACTAATACCAATGATGGGGCACTATTCCTCCCACTGACATCAATGATGGGGCACTATTCCTTCCACTGGTGTGCATTGGAAGAGGGGTAGTTTTATACGGCGAGTATAGCCCAAACACTACATTTTAGCAGGAAAAGTAGGGGGGTCGTCTTATACGCCCAGTCGTCTTATACGCCGGCAAATACGGTAATCATAAAAATCATGCTGTATACCAGGAGTGTCCAGCCCGCGAGTTCAGAATGCAGCCCTGGCATGTCTGGAGGAGCGCTGTGCAAGAATAGAAGCCGCGGCGGTTGGCAAGACGAGCAGGCACGTATGGAAAGACTCGGGACATAGAGACCACAGCAGCTGGAACAGCAAATCCAGGATCAAGTGCAGCTGAAGGGATGCCGGGAGTGCTGTTTTTGTAAAACCACCAGCAACAGTGAATGCAGTGACTCCACATAGCACCAGGCAAGTATATGTTGCATGGCTGTATCAGGGGGGTGCTGGGTAGGGCTGCGCCCACATTTTTCAGTTGCTTCCCCTGCCCACAACCTCCCTTCTAACTTCCCATGCAGTCTCCATGTCCGTAACAGATATTCATGGATTTTACAAGCAGTCCTTGAATTGAATGGTTGGCAACCCTGGTATGTGCTGTGTTGGGAGGTTGTGGGCGGGGTCTTTGGAGGGGTCCACCAACCCCCTGCAGCCAAAACGCACTGCTTTTTACATACTGGTGAGGCTGACAGTCATTCTTAATGGCATCCCCCCCCCCCCCCACACATCTAAAAACGCAGCACGTTTTCAGGTGCAGGAGCTGATCGGAAATTGCATGGTGCAAAAGCTGTGCACAAGCAAATGCAGCCCAAGACAACTCATCTTCTTCCAATATGGTCCTTCTGTATACAGTCATGTAAATATAATAAATAATAATGATCAGGAAAAAAACAAGGCTAGGTTCACACCTATGCAGGTTGCGTTACAGCCGTTTTCACATTGCATTTTGCGTTTTCGCGTTTTGAGAGTTTTTTTTTTTATTGTTGCTAGGCAGATTTAAAACACTTCAAAAACAAAGCAAAAATGCAATACATGCTTTTCTGCAGCATTTACATTGAAGTCTATAGAACCAAAAACGCTAATTTTGGTGTTCAAAAATGTCCCTAAACCTTTCCAAAAAACGCATCAGGTGAAAACGCGCAGATGTGAACATGCCCCATAGGAAATCATGTTAAATGGACTGTACTGTGTTTCTGCAAAACGCTGCAGAAAACGCTTAGGTGTGAACCTAGGGAAAAAGGCCCCTTACATTGTTGGTCAGAGGAAAAGTACCCCATACATTGATGATTAAAGAAGAAGTACAGCCAACGCTCTGTTACTCTGCGCTCCTGTGGCCCGTTTTTAGCTGGCTGACGTCACTCAGTCGGTCTAGGCTGGGGAAAGATCCCGTCTGGATCCACCCCAGAGTCAGGAGTGGCACCTGGGATGTTCTGATCTTAGGACTGAATGGGAAGATCATAGCTATATAATACCCCCAATGTGTCACTGACTGCGAGTCCCACCCTAATCACTGTTCTGAACTAGAGCGGGTAGCTATAAAATACCACCAAAATGTGACTGACTG